TAAATGGCATAAATTAATAATAGTGAATTACAAAGGTATTGTTCGCTACGGACTGTGTCTTTAATTTTGCTGCAAGTATAGTATAACCCTGATTTACGATTATTTGATACAACAAACTGCTCTACTCTTTTCTTCCACTTACAAGACAAATTATTCTATACAACAATGGCTTTTTTAAACTCTCTTTCCAGTGGGCATTAAAGAAGGACTTTTTAGCCATGGGTTTTTAGCCACAATTTTACTATATTCACTCCTATTTTAAACAGAGATTGTACGCCTTATCTTCCATATTATTTCGTAAGATTTACACACAAAGATCTTATTTTAATTCATATAATTATTCAAGTTTCTGTATTATAATAATAATATTGTATATAGAAGAAAAATAAATTTGAAAGTAAGATAATAATAATTTCGCATTTGGACTGGTTTCAATTTTTTTTTTTTTTCTATTAATTAATTAAATATAATAATTTTACAGCATACCTATTTAATTCTTATTATTATTATGGGAAATATTTCTACTAACATTATTAAAAATTCTCATATAATAACAAACATTTCTCCTTTATTCCAAAATTAGTAAACATTTTATTATGCAAGTGACAAATTAATATAAGGAAAAGAATATTACCTTACTACTATTTCACGCAAAGGACAACTGCAACCTAATTAGTTTTCTATTACGTAAATCATAACCTATTCATTAAGATAAAGAAAAGATGGATTAATGAGATGGCCGAAAAAGTTATGCCATTTGTCACTCACTTATTTTATTAAGAATTGCTATTGCAAGATTGTAGCAATAAAGTTTCTAAAGACTCTATTATATATATTAAGTTGTATTTTTTTTGCAATGTCAAAATAAGAGTTATATTCCATTCTAAACGGGGATAAACTCTTGAGAAATTATCAGTTTTGGTAATTCACTAGAAAGTCAATTTTTTAAAATGTCATTTTTGATTTCATTAACGCAAACTTCAATTGTTCTTGTCTTTGTCCCTATTTATCGCACGTTCGTGGATTTATTAATGGCCTTTTCGACGCAATCATTTAATCAAAAATTCTATCATCGATCAAAATTCTACGCAACAAAAGTATATAATTAATTACAATGTGTTTCATATGCTTTATGACTATACACTCGAAATACATACGACAGTTTTCATATACCTAATAGTAAATCTATTATGTTTGATTAATTAATTGTTAAAATATTTTTCTGTATACTTTCTCTTTTTGTAAATATCTTCTTTAATTGTATATATATATGTGTGTGTGTGTTTGTATATTGTTTTAAAAGATATCTATAGTGATTTTATGAATCAAAGTTTTATTGTTTGTCATGCCATCACAGCTTATGATTATGAATTAATACTAAAAGAAAAAAAAAGGTAAAACGAGAAAAAATCATTTTAATTTACTTATATAAGAAATTAGAGAGACAATGGGAGAAGAAAAAAGTAAATATTAATGCTTGATGCAATAAAATATACATCAGTTATAAAAGAAAAACAACCTCGAATTATGCTTACGTTAAGTAATACGTGTGAAATTAGTTTATATAATTTTAATTATTTCTTCTGTGAAGGACAAACGTCAAACAGTTTTTCAAATTTTTTGGCTCCATCCCCATTTTCTTAGTAATTATGGTACTTTAGTTAGAACTTAATATTTTCATAACATACAATTCAACATTTAAATTTTAATTACATTGAAAAATTCATTAAATTCTTTATGATAAATTTATGGTAAAGTTTCTTTATTTACTTACGTTGATATATATAAAACATTTTATTATCTATACTAATATTATAAAGAGGTAATGTTTGTATGTAAGTTTGGATGCAGCAGGTAATCTCCAAAACTACTCATCCGATTTCAAAAATTTTTTCACCAATATTTAGAATGGAACTTCAGGGTGGACATAGGCTGTATATTATTCCGTTAAACATGGGGGATGGACAGTTCTTTACGGTAAGCCTTACGGGGAAGGCTTACCGTAAAGAACTCTGCTTCTATTTATACTATTTTAGATGCGGTTTTTTGCGTTTTTGATTGCGTTTTAATAGAGTACGTCAACAGAATGTACACTAAGAAGGGATTTTTCGATATTCCCCCCGGGGGGGAAGGGACAGGATTAAGGCTTACTGTGAAGAACTTCACTTCTATTATACTATTTTAGATGCGATTTTTTGCGTTTTTGATTTCATTTTAATAGAGTACGTCAACACAATGTATACTAAGAAGGGATTTTTCGATATTTTCCCCGCGGGGGAGAAGAACAAGATTAAGGTTTACTGTGAAAAACTTGGCTTCTATTATATTATTTTAGATGCGGGTTTTTGCGCTTTTGATTGCGTTTTAATAGGGTACGTCAAGAGAATGTACACTAAGAAAAAATTTTTCGAAAAATTTCCCCCCACGGGGGAAGTGTTATACATTTATAATAGATACATTTTGATCCACAACAACGCGTGGCGGGGTCTGCTAGTCTTTATATAAAAATTTTGTATATTCTTTTACATAAACTAAAGATATTGATAAAAGTAAAAACTTTAGGTATATGTGATGCATTTTACATAGAAGAAACAACAGAACAGATTAGAAATTATATAAGTGATCACGAAATATGTTTTAGTCGAAAGGATAATATCAAAATAACTGATCAATGTTATCCTTATCTGAAAGAAGAAGTAACTATTACCTTCGTATCGTAACTAAGTCAATAATTTATTTATAATTTTTTGTATGGAAAAACTAAAAGTTTCATCTAATAGTTGAAACTCCTAGACTTATGGAAAGTTTAAATTAATCCATCAGCTATTCCAGAAGAGAAATTATAATTAATATTTCCGTGCTTTTACATTCCCTAAAATTATCCATATGAGGCTTTTTGTAAAACGATTTATAAAAATAATTTGGAGGATGTCGTTCAATATAAACATTTTATAATTTATACAGTTTGCTTTGAGAAAAAAGGTACAATAATTTGTAAACAAATGAAATTATACAAACTCATTAAAGAATTAGAATTTACGTTTCCAAACTTATTCAGTTTGTTGCGCTCTTGCTCTTCCCAAACTTGTTTTTCTTGCGCTCCTCTCAAGTAATGATAACGAAGAAAGGTCGTTAGCAGTATTAAAGAGAGTGAAAAAAAAATACATGAGCGGAACAACGGGGGATAAATTCACTTGCAATATTGTCTATCCAGGTGAAAAGTATCGAAACGGTTAGTTTTGATGAAGGAATAAAAGAATTTTTCTATATAAAAACTCGAAAAAGCATTTTCTAATTTAAGTTTTGACCTATTTAGGCTACCTTATATATATATATATATACATATATCAATAATTAACTATATAAATAGTTAACTAAACTGAGAAAGACAGAACAAACGACTAACATAAATAATTAATGTATTATTTTTTATTTATTTATTAGGTATTTATTTTGATAATTCGCGCCCTGTGGATAGGACATTCATAGGGTATTCATATCAGATCTATTTCGGGTTCGGCCAAGGCCGTATAAGAGTGACCAGATAGTGAGGGACGGGACCAGATATATCCGGGTCAAACCACTTTTGAAAAATCCCTGAGGACTCGCATCCGAACCCAAATTCTGTAGTGTAGATCTAATCACCATAATCGTTAATGAATGATAGAAACTGGTTTATAACTAATTAACGCCATTTATTGTTATAATACTCATAATATTACGATATAAACATTATAAAAATTTGAGGAATTTGAGGAATATTTAACAAAAATCCTCAATTTACTTTGAAAACCATTTTTATCTGCATTAAATTTTAACTTAACAGAAAATATTTTGCAATTAATTTCATTTGCCATTATTTATGACTAAGAATTTCATTATTATAATTATTTTTAGATAATTTAATAATAGGAATATAAAAATACTATATAAATTTGTTTTTTATATCATATCATTTTCACTGAGAATAAGTTCTTTAAATTATTATTATTATTCTTTATTTGAATATATAAAAATATGAAATTAAATTCTTACGTTATCCTTGGTTTATTTTTATATAAATTTTTAAATTTACTCATTAAATATTTGGATGTCCTATATTTTGAAATTAACAATGTAAAACCGTGATGTATACAGGTGGAAAAAAAAATTATAGCTTTATATATCATGTTTTATTTGTCCTTACTTTCACTTAATAGACCTAGTCCTACTTAGCCATTATTTTAAAGTGTAGTCACGAATTTACTACACCTTCGAGATACAAAATAATCAAAATTATAAGCAAAAGCAATAGTAGAAACTAATGTAAAGATTTTAAATAAATAGCAAAATATAATACATTTTTCTATACGTGAATTTCTTGATTAATTAGACTTAAAAATCCTTTTGTTTTTTTTAATTACGAATCTTCAATGCCATTAAGAAAAGTAATCTTTCTACTTGAGTTTTTTTTTTTTTTAGTTTATTAAAATGTTTTATATATATTTTTCTGATTAATTTTCTTATGTATATCCTTGAATTACAGTTATAATGAGGAACATTTAAATAAAACAAGTTTAATTTAAACATTTTACTAATTTATTTTTAGTTTATAAAATACAAAAATATAAAAAAAAACCGTTCACAAAAATTATTTACAAATTATACTTGACAGAAATTTTGATTTTTACAAAAATTATTTATGTACATTTGTTGTTTTTTTTTTCTTTTAATTTTCTTATTGAATTTGCAAAAATGTCTTGATATTTTCACAAATTCCTTTAACTTTTGTCAATTTTTTGTATAGTTATTTTGCAAAAATTTGACGAAAGTTGAATTTTATTCTTTTACAAAGTATTTATAATTTTATGGTATGCTTTTTTTGGCAGTTTATATGAGTACATTTACATAAAGTTATATATGTACTATGCAGAAAATTATTGTTAATAAGATTAAAATACGAATTTTAAATTATTTATTATTATTTTTTTCTTAAATTATATAAATATTTAATATATCGAGTCACCAAAATTTAGCTAAAATATTTAATTAAGGTTTTTTTTAATACAGATTATACGTTATGCATGAGTTATTTTTATAGGAAATAAGCTAAAATATCACTTCTAAATGAGGTAATGATATTCTAAGGTATACTCGTATAAAATATGAAGTTTCTGGCAGGAATTATTATTACATTTGTCTGAAAAACCTTCATACAAAATTAATTCCATTTCTATACATTGATGTTCAATAATCTTTGAAAAGTAATGATATGTTTGGCGATAAAATTTACAATGAAATTAATATGAAAGACATAATTACATGTATTAGTATTAACTTTATAATTGCGTACAAGGTGAATCACAGTTTACTTTATGTTCGCTCTGATTTTTGTCCATTAATTTTAAGTACAATGTATCATCGTATGTGTATGGTACATACTTAGGTAAATGAGTTATTTTATTATTTGTAACATTCTTATTTCTGAAACTTTGCACTATACTTAAAACAACAGGTAATACCAACATAGCATGAAAAGCTGTTTGTATGGATAAGAGGAACATAACTTTAAAAAATAGTATAAACATACGAGTACTTTCGAATGCAAATAATAAAACAGCGAGTATAGTAGACGTGGTACCTTGAAAAATAGGTAAACCGACATCGTATAAACTGTCTTGTAGTTTATCATTCGGTTTATCTTTCTTTGACATCATAAAGGCAAATGATATATGTGTTGGATAGTTTATAGAAAATCCTACACTCATAATTAAAACTATCATAGAAATCATATCTAAATTTACATTCCATAAAACCATATAACCAATAGTTTCGCATAAGGATGAAAATACTGCAACTGCTATACAAATGGCACAAATTAAATTTGGTATAAACATAAAAAATATTAAAATAATCAAAATTGCCGATAACCATGCAACCTTGATAACAATTCCTTTGATTAAATTTCCATGTTCCATTAATGGAAAAAATAAACTGTGAATCGTAATAGGTATAGGCGAAGTATCTGCAATTTCTTGTAACTCCCTTATTGCTTTATTTTCAGTTTCTCTATCCACTAAACCTTTTAATAATAATAAAAATCTACTAGCGACTATTCTCGTTGAATCATTATTAAATATCACATCTTGTTTAAATTGTCTAGCTGGATATAATTTAACATATATATTCTTCATTACATATACAAAATCGTCTTCGTTTGATATATTAAAACCTCTTAAAAATACCGAAGATACTTGTTTACTTGTAAAATTTTTATAATATTTTAACCAAGATAATCTCGACGAAGTTTCTGCTATATTTGGATGTTTTTCAAACCTACTTAAAGTTTCTTCTATTCGTTGTTGTACGGTAGGATCTGAATAATGTAATGTGTCATTTATCACAATTTGTAACATTGCTGGATATTGTGCAAAATAACGATAATATAAGTTAATAAATCCGGCTTGTTCCGCTCTTATCACATCTGTTACTTCCATACCTGATTTCATATTTAGAAAACCATAAATTCCAACACCAAGATTTCCACAGAATATAATTAAAATTATAATTTTTACTGGTAAATAGGTAAGAAATTTTCCAACTTTATCTCTAAAAATTGTTGTTAATATTTCTTCTTTCTCTTCATCCTCTTTTTCTTTTGTTTCCGGAACTGAAAAATGAAAAAAGAAATCCCTTTAGATTTTTGTACATTCAGTTTACATTGTAATAGTAATTTTTTTTTTTATTATTAAAAGAAGAAGTCATTTCATAAAATTAAATTAACTTCATCATTGTGTCCTAATACTTATAACAATAATCAGCAAACAACCTTAATTATTCATTTTTCGTGTGTGTGTGTTTAATTATTCGAAAATCTAGTTTAACATCAATTAATCATATTATTAAAATAATTTTTTAAAATAAAATATAAAATATAAATCAATTGTTATAGTATTTCATCATAACAATTGCAAAATTCGTAAGCATTTACTTAATGCAATAACACGTTAAATTTTTTTTTTCAATGCAATTTTAAAAAGTAATACAATAAGAAAGATGAAACGTGTTTATTTATTGTTTTATTTCCACGGGTNACGTGTAATGGATCGAAGTGTTAAAGGATGGAGCAAATATTTTTCTCTATAACCACTTATGGCCATACATCCTCCAAAAAACGTAATTTGAAAAATGTACGTGAAAAATATAGCTACTGCAGCATAAATACAGAATAGACGAACTATTGGAAAAGGTGCTGTAATTCCAATACAGAACGATAAAAAGTTGGTTAAGGAAGTTATAGTAATTGACACAGCAGCTTCTGAAAACGAATCTGCCATTCGTTTTGGTACGTCATCTTTTGCATTTGTTCTTCTCCACGCTGCAATTAATACATAAGCGTCATCTATTTCTGTGCCTGAAAAAAATCAATTAATTCAGTTATATTAATTCGATCATTTCTGAGTACATTTATATAATAATTAAAAGTATATCTTGACTGTTTGTATAAATCAATTGTTATAGTATTTCATCATAACAATTGCAAAATTCGTAAGCATTTACTTAATGCAATAACACGTTAAATTTTTTTTTTCAATGCAATTTTAAAAAGTAATACAATAAGAAAGATGAAACGTGTTTATTTATTGTTTTATTTCCACGGGTCACACACGTGTAGCTAATAAAATTCTTTTTACTGTAACATATTTCTTATTTTCCTTAATTTACGCTTTTCGTACTTGTTTATTTCCGTATTCGTTTTTCTAATAGAAAAAAAAAGGAGGGGTGGATCTTTAACTGTAAAAATTACATAAATTAGTTGTTGATTTTCTTATTCTTGTTATCTTTTAGATTGTCATTGATAACAATAACAATATGTATATAAAAAGCTGTTAAATTAATTCATTTTCTTATTACACGTGTAAATTTTACTTACTTAACATGTTCATTAATCGATACAATCTATTATAAACATGAATATTTAATATAAATAATGTTTAAAAGTTTGTTTTCGATTATAACTATAAAATAAGCAATGAATTTTAATGAATAATATAGTGGTAAATACTTGGAAAGACTAATAATTAGTATATAATAAATGCGAAGGACATATCATTATATATATAAAGGATTAAAAATTTCGAAAGTTATATATGTACTATGCAGAAAATTATTGTTAATAAGATTAAAATACGAATTTTAAATTACTTAATTATTTTTTTTTCTTAAATTATATAAATATTTAATATATCGAGTCACCAAAATTTAGCTAAAATATTTAATTAAGGTTTTTTTTAATACAGATTATACGTTATGNGGTTTATAATTTATAAAGATTTTCTGTTTCTATCTTATTTCTTATCTTGATTCAAACTGTCTGTAGGCAAAATAAGTTTTGCTAGTAGAACTATTCGAGTTCTTATTTTGGGTGAAGGATAACAGGAATTGAAATTAAAAATTTTATTCACAATTAATCATTATAGTTAACAATATATTATTTGTTCTTCCGGTTGACTATCTCAACAAATATTGATCAAATTAAATTCATTATATTTGAATTTATACAAACATTTTTAATATAAAACTTGTAATATATCTATAACAAGGTATAAAAACTCTAGCAGGAAACGTAATAAATTAACATTTTTAATAAATTGCATAAAGTTATTTATAAAATTTTATGAAGGATGTGATTTGCGTGCTTGTACTCGTCGTTTATTTTTCTTGTATCCTTTATATACGTGTATACATTGATGTATTTAATACATATTTCATAATAAATAGTTATTTTTAAATTTAATTTTAATTTATTTATTTTACTGGAAGTGAAGTTTTAGTAATTAATAATGGTTTCAATATTCAAATTAAGCATTTCTTTTAAAGGAAATAATAGTTCTTCCTAATAAAGCTTACAATGGAAATATATACGTGATATGTATTCATAACAAAAGAAAAAGGTTGAATCTTACTGAAAATGTAAATAAACACAATAAAACCTCCCAATTGTGACCTCGGGAAAAATCAAGTGTTGTCAAGTGTGGGCACAAAACAAAAGTGGTGACAAAATATAGGTCTATGTTCCATTTAAATCAATGGAAAAATTATCGAGAAATTTTTTACTGATCACAAATTAGAGGTGGACACCTTGAAAAATAGGTAAACCGACATCGTATAAACTGTCTTGTAGTTTATCATTCGGTTTATCTTTCTTTGACATCATAAAGGCAAATGATATATGTGTTGGATAGTTTATAGAAAATCCTACACTCATAATTAAAACTATCATAGAAATCATATCTAAATTTACATTCCATAAAACCATATAACCAATAGTTTCGCATAAGGATGAAAATACTGCAACTGCTATACAAATGGCACAAATTAAATTTGGTATAAACATAAAAAATATTAAAATAATCAAAATTGCCGATAGCCATGCAACCTTGATAACAATTCCTTTGATTAAATTTCCATGTTCCATTAATGGAAAAAATAAACTGNACGTGTAATGGATCGAAGTGTTAAAGGATGGAGCAAATATTTTTCTCTATAACCACTTATGGCCATACATCCTCCAAAAAACGTAATTTGAAAAATGTACGTGAAAAATATAGCTACTGCAGCATAAATACAGAATAGACGAACTATTGGAAAAGGTGCTGTAATTCCAATACAGAACGATAAAAAGTTGGTTAAGGAAGTTATAGTAATTGACACAGCAGCTTCTGAAAACGAATCTGCCATTCGTTTTGGTACGTCATCTTTTGCATTTGTTCTTCTCCACGCTGCAATTAATACATAAGCGTCATCTATTTCTGTGCCTGAAAAAAATCAATTAATTCAGTTATATTAATTCGATCATTTCTGAGTACATTTATATAATAATTAAAAGTATATCTTGACTGTTTGTTTCAGATCTTTTTTTTCTTAATTTAATTTAATTAAAGGTTATATTAATCAAGATATAAGGAAATATTTAATCTTTTTATGCGATTATATTTTTTAAACAATGCTATTATTATTATTTTTTTCTTTAAAGGTTACTTATAAATTTTGATTTTGATTGTTAAAAATTTAATATAATGATATACTTACCAAGGATAAGAAATGGCAAAACAATATGAATATCAGTATAAGATAACCCACAATGAAATATTGAACCGAAGGTCGCTAGGATAGCGAGAGCTGCAGATACACAACCAGCAGCACCTAACCAAGGTTTACTTCTTACCAAAGTTACCGAGATACTAGTGATCATTGAGAAGATTGCTACGATAAGAGCAACCACCGCGGATAAAGGTAAAATTGATCTTGAAAAATGCTCCATCTCGGATGCAAATATAGAAGAAGGCATAACAGATATATCTATATGTTTAAATTTCATCCCTCGAAGAACGTCAGTAAGTGATAATTCCCAAACGGAAGCCATTTTTCTTTTAGTGTCGTTGCGATTTTCTATTAAATAAAATAATCTTATAGCTTTAACGTCTGTAACGTAGCCAAGTTTATCTCTTGTCACTCCTCCAAGATTTACGGCATGAGCAGTAAATATTAATGTAAATGGATCAATTTCTAATGGAAATCTAAAACGATATTTTCCTTCTTCGTATTTTCTAATTTTATCATTAAGATTAAAAACTGGATTTTCATAGCAGACATTTTCTTTTATAGCGCACACATTTTTATAAGTTATAATTTCATCATTCCACGTTATTCTATGATTACGTACAACTTCGTCGATTTTTTTTAAGTCATTAAATATGATTTCTCTTATCATATTTTTATCATCTTTAGCTATTGCTGTTATATATATACCGGGTGGTGTATACGTTGCTCTTAATATATCAATATATTTCGATGTAATTGTTGGAAACAAACTTTCTACTATTCTTTTATTTTGTGATGCTCTCCCTGTTTCAGTTTCAAAAAGATGTTCGAAATCCCTATTAAATGTTATTTTAAGAAATCCTGTAGATAAAATAGCAGATATTAAAACTGGTAAAGTTAAAAAATAATAAGGATAATGTCCTATTATTTCTCCAAGTTTTCTAAATTTCGCTGACAATGAACGTTGTACAATGTTGTATTTCATGTTGTTCTCTATTTACTCTGAAAAAATAAAAATAAAAATAAAATCAAAATGTAATTTTATAAATTATAAAAATGTAATAAATATTAAATAATCATTTATGTATTTTTTTTTTATGTTTTAGAATTGCAATTTATCTAAATTACAAAAATGCAATTCTAATATAAAAATTAAGGGGCAATTCCCTGAGATATTATTATTATTGCTAATTTCGAATTTAAAATAATATTTTTATCGTTAATTTTTTAAAAAAATTTATTATATTTATATAATATTTATTTTATACAAATTTTTTGCTAATATTTTATTTTTTTATATTACGTATTTTATAAATGACAAATACATAAACTTTTATGATATTTAATGTATAAAAAATATTGTAAATGAAATACAAGCATAAACTTAAATTTATCCAAGAATATAGTATAACGAAAATGAAAGTAGAAATTAAAATTAATTCAATAGTAAAATTACTAAACATAAATATAAATAGTTATTATAATGTAAAGAAAAATATGAAAGTAGTGTTTATAATACAGATTTTTTTTTTTTCTCAGAAAAAAATAAAAATAAAATTTTATATACATACAATTTGAAGGTTTTTTATATATATAATAAGATGACTTTGCCTTAAATTTTACATCGCCAGAAATATTTTTAAATCTCTAAAAAAAAATTGAAAATAAAATCTATTTCCAGATTAATTTTAAACATACCTAAAACAAATATTATTATTTCTTTGCAAATGTTTCAAAAAAAAACAATAAAAAAACGAAAATTAACATGATAAATGGTAAATAACATCTAAAAATATAATTTTTAAGTGCACAAAAAATGATTGTTGTAGGATCATTTAAGCATGAATTTCACGACCTAAAAATAAAATTGATAATTTGTGAATAATTTTGTTGTTATATATATTTATTATAAAAATTAAAACATTATTGTATTGTTTCAATTTATTTTTACTTTTCTTTTGTATAACTAATAAATCGTTACCTAATCGTACTTTAATAAAATAAAAGATAAAAATCTTAAAACGATTTTCTTCGTAAGTAGATGATTTGTGTTATTATTCTTCGAACTTGACACAATAAAATTTGTTTACATCTAAAGCAAATGAAAAATTAAATCAACTAGTTTAAAACAAGTATGACAAAATGTAAAAAAAATGCTCATTAAAATAAGCTGAAAAGAAAAATAATCCTCTGCTAGGAACAGACACTTAATCAGTGTTTTAGAAGTATTTTACTGTATAAAAAAAAAACAATAAAATAATTCTAAAACAGTGGTTAATCGTATGATTAATTCCTAGTAGCGGATTAACAATAGCGAAAGAAACATCTTACTATTTTATAATATTAATAATTGGAACATAACACTTATTAAATAACAATTCATTAATTGGTTTAGTTTATATTAATTAAAAAAGATCGAATACTAAGAAATTGAAAATTGTATTCTGATTATGGAATTGTAGTAATTAATTGTAAATATTATGACAGATCTTTAATATAATGCGATTTTTCACAAAGAAAATAATTTCATGGAGTTTGTTTGATAATTTACCTTACCACTATAGTATTTATTTTAAATCAATATATTTTAATAAAAAAAAATAATAAATTATTATACAATTAAAATTAAAATACATTGTTTAAAAAATATGCTATTTATTAAAATTTTTCTCATTGTTTCCTGTTACACTTTATAAACTTTAAATAAAAACCTTAACACTAATGAAAAGAGAATCTTAAAAATACCTATCGTAAACTAGACTTACGATAGTGCTATAAGGCAAAGGCATAAACAATATGATATTTCTAAGAATAAAGAATTTATAACTCATTTAACACATTTTAAAATTTCTAATCTAAACTAGTTCATATAATAAACAATTTAAAAACCTTTCTATTGCGTTTTAATATATATTTATGTATGCTTTGTTCATTTACTCATTATCTCTCTTAACAGGTTTAAATGAGAACACATAAAACTTTATTTTCCTTTCTTTTTTTACACGTAACTAGAAACAAACACACGTGGACACAATTTTCAATTTCATAACTATAAAAATAAAACTATAAATTTATATTGTAATATATTTTATGAGTTCTTAATATTTATTGCAATACTATTTTTATGTATACATCTTATATCTCTCTCTCTTGTATTATTTTTAAACATTAAAATTTTATATTTATAAATATACAAAATTCTAACCAAAAATCTAAAAACAAATACAAATTTATAGATAAAAACAGTTGACTTTGAATAGAAAACGAGTCTATAGCTAGGCTTTAAAAAATTTATATATTGATATATATATATATATACCTCTATATATGAATAAATACACATCATATTTACATTACAATAAATATAAGATATATATTTATACGATACGTATATATATAATCCTGAGATTTCCACAATTCGTTGTTATAAAATAGTCTACACAATAAAAAAATAAAATATATATATATATATACACTCTGTATATATATATATACAGGGTGTTTCAAAACTATATGTCAGAAATGTAAAGGCAGGTAGAGGGGACCTAAATAAGCAGATTTTGTATAGGAATGTGGGTGCGAAAACGCTGTGAGGGGACACTGTTGAGTTCAGCAGATGAAAGCACTTTGCTGGCTTGAATCATCATTCCCTGCACAGATTTTGAGCAACATGCATTGTTACACCAATGCAGAGCTTGCCGACATGCATTTCATGTATGGGGCTGTGCAAGGAAATGGAGTGGCTGCTCAAAGGATGCACATGGAGCAATTTCCGGGTATCTGCCGGATTGCCAAATATTCAAATGTCTTCATTGGGAGTTGTGCATGAGTGAATTGGTTTATGCTTNATATATTAACTAAATTTTATATATATAATTAAAAATTTTATTTTAGTAATTACTTACTCTTTTGATTATTTCTAAGTGAGATCTAACTTAACTATTAGATGTGAAGGTGTATAAACAGTTGAGAAAATATAAATGAATGATAATATAAGAAATGTTTCGTCTTATACGTCATAACAAATCAGATTATTACAAGTCTGACGTAAAACTTCATAAAATAAAATAAGAAAATAACTTAAGTACTATATTTAAGGGACTTTTTTCATTCGAAAAAGGTTTTGACGTCAAAATGTATAGGACCACTTATTGGTTCACATGTTTTATGCTTTTTTTCTTACTATCTTCAAGGACAATTGAAGAATTTCTGGAAATTCCCCATTCACTAAAACTACCGATTTTTATTATTATTTTTGTCTGATTCATTTTTGGGTCTTTTTTTTTTTTTAAATATTACAATTCGGAAATGAATAGATTTTATTTTAATAATAAAATTATTCCTCCTAACTTATTATATGCAGTAAATAATGGAATGTTGCCAGCGCTACGAAGGTTGAATGTTAATTAACATGTTTGTGTCATAAAGACGTGTTACGGTCATTAAAATATAAATACTAGATAGAAAACCGAAAGAGTAAATTGGGTTTAATCTTCGTTTGTGTTAACATTTAATACCGAAAAGTTCAATATGTAATTGTCTACTATTATACTGTAATAACTATTAATTGCATACATAAATGTGAATTAATTTCATGTAAATTATACTAATAAATATACTATAATATCGTATAAGAAATGCATGCTTGTTTAAAACGAGAGAGAGAGAGAGAGTAAATAAATGTTACATTTTTTCTCCGAATTGCATAAATAGAAAAAAAAAAAGGGAAACTGTACCATGACATGAATGCTTATTCATACGTGTAAAAGTATGTAGAAAAGTATTATCAAAATAATTTACTTATAAATTTACAAAAATATATTATATATTAGGGAAGTCATTTAGAATTAAAGCGGAAAACTAATGTTTTAATATAACGTTCGACTTTATTGCATAAAAGTTATTTATAAATGCTATTGTTTTCATTTTAATGTCACATACAGGTACAGTAAATAAACGTGGAAAATAAATAAATTTCTAAATATTAAATGTATTTTCGATTATTTTGTAAATATTCTCGAAATTTATTTATTTTTTAAAGCTTCGAAACTTATTAAAATATATTTTTCTTCTTCTTTCAAGCATTAGAAATGTCGCTTATTGTAACCACGTCTTCTAGGATAATATATCTTTCATTAAAACATACTAACAAATAAAAAAATGTTATTTCCAGTTAATGTTATATTATATTATTATAAAATCATTCATCATAATTATTTTTATGGGAATTTATTTATTGTTATCATCGCTTTATAGAATTCAAAAACGGAAATGCATTTTGTAAATATAATAAATAATTTTTTTTTTCAATAGATAAAGCGATAATTTGATATCAAATATATTATATAACAATGATAATTGTCTAGAATTATTACAATTTTATATTATTTTATATAATTCCTAGTTTAATTTTAATAATTGATTTGAATAGTTTCATTATTTATTTAACGATACTTAAATGTATTTAAATAAAAAAAATTAAGTATATTTTAATAAAAATTAACTTGGAAACTCGTAGAAATAAATGCATAATAGTTAAAAAAAAAATACAAAATTAAACGTGAAAGGTAATGCGATATTTTTAAAGTAGGAGTAATATTGGTTGTTATCTTTTAAATTTTTCTTATGTTTAAATGCATAAATAAATATGCTTTTTATAAAATAAATTGTTGTCAAATTTCAAATATACAGAATTAATTAAATTAATTAGAAAGTATAAATTGCATACATTATTAAAATCTAAAATAGAAAAAGAAAATATACTGAAAACTAACCGAAATAGACTATATAAAATGTTCAAATTAAATTGAAATTTAAAATTTACTATTATTTTTTTCCTGTTTGATATTTATTATTTTAGTATTTCGTTTTCTAATTATTTATTAAATTAATAACATTAAAAATTCTATCGAAAAAAAAAAA